GTCTCCAACCCGCAGATCTGCCAATCCGCAGCTGAACGTGGCTTTGAAACTGAGGTTCTCAAGCTGAGCCCTTCGGTCCTTAATGCCATCCGCCGGCAGACGGACTCATTGTTTGGGACTGGACTGAGAGAGGAGCTTCAGGTGCCTCTGGACCGAGCGTCGCAACAGATCCAAGCCAAGAACCAGGAGGATGTTGCTGCTTCAACGCCTCCGATTGGAAAAATGGCGTCTTTGTTATTGGAAGCAGCCGAAGCAGGTGAGCTTCGGATGCTGCCCTTTCCTCAGCGTTGATTGATCAAATTTTCAAGGTCTTTGTGCTTGGGTTGTTGCAGATGTGTTGCGCTAGAACCGCATTTGCTTTGCAACGCAACCCTTGAAGTCCCCAACGTTGACCGTATTTGTTTTGCTCTGCAACTTCATGTTCCCATTTGTCCAAGTCCAGCCACGTGGCCGCATAGGCGTGCTCCTTTTATGCAACTGCTCCTATCCACACCCTCCCACACCCAGGGACATCATGCGCATGCTTCAGGTCTGTGAGCAAGTTCGGGGCCAAAGAGCGGATAATGTGGGATGCGCTCTCCTTTGGATATTTCTTGCAAGAGGCAGAGGATGATCTCCTCCTGGCAAGCGAATGAGCCCCGAGCTGCGGTGGAAAAAGACGGATCAGTACTTGCAACATGTATGTTTCAACCGACTACTTAAGTGGCTGTGGTCAGACCCTCGTGGTCGACAAAGAGTCCTTCGAGATCCTACTGGGATCTTTGCAGGTGTTAGAACATGCAAGATACTTGCGGAGACGCCTGCTTTGACTTCAGGAGCTTACCCGGCGTGGCAAAGATGGGACTGCGCCAGTGAAGAAGCCAGTGGCGCCCACGGCGGCCGCCACCTTCGGCAAAATCAAGTTTAAGGACCTACAGCCCAGCGAGCAAGGAACCTCCAAACAAGAACATGCTATGTTCCGAGCAGAGGTCGCACCTTAGAGCCTGCGATCATCTCAAATCTTTCTATAGGACCTCAAGAAGCTCGGCCTGCTGGGCTGTGGTGGATTCGGCGCTGTTGAGATGGCGGCTTGGCAGAAACTCTGGAAAGGGAGGTTGAGATCAAATCGTCTTCGCCGGTTGAACCAGCTTGCTTGTGAAGAGCGCTTCTTGCACATCTGCATCGAAAAGACGCTTTCTCCTGCCCTTGTGACAAGTTCTATTGTGAGGCCCTTTCCGAGCAGGAAGTCTGGAAACTCTGAACTCATGACCAACTCCTCAAGGTGGCCATGGTAGAAATGACTTCAATGTCGAAAAGGAGGGGAGGGCCAAATCTGATCCAAACGGACGAAGGTAAGCTAGGGGAATGCCGAGTTTTCAGAAATCTGACCGTGTGTTCAGCATTCGGCAAGTGCCAAAACCTGCATGGACTCACATAAGCTCGTACTTTGTTCCGTCGATCTCTTTGCAAGTGTTCAGGTGGAGGATCTCAACACGGGAGAGACCTACGCTCTGAAGGCCCTGAGTAAGGGGTATGTGGCCCCTGCCTAAGCTTCATGCGGAAGCTTTCGAGCTTTCTGCGAGGGGACATGGCATCCCCTATGGTCGATTCAGGTCAAGAGTGGGATGCAGGGCAGCGTTATCAGCGAGAAAAACGTACAGCTCTTATGCGACTCACCCTTCATCGTGAAGTTGCACGATGCTCTCCTCAAACCTATTGCAACACCCAAACTGGCGCCAGTAAACTTAAGTAGTGGAGGCAGTTAGCATCCAATCAATCTTTCCATCTTTCGCCTTTGCTTGGGATTGTGAACCTGGCCTGCCCTGGTGCTTAGTTGTGCTGAAAGCAGAAAGGAATAGAAGATGGAGTCGTCCCTTGCTGTAACTGAAGGTCTCCCGTATGCATTGTATGCATTGCAGCAAAACAGTCCCGCTGATATGCCGACACCCAGCTGTTCTGCTCGTGTTGCCTACCTGAAGCGGTTTTCGATTTGCAGAGGCCGCTTATAGGTTCCTGCTCTGCGGAAGTTATGCTTGTTTTTCGCGTTGTGTTGAAGTTGAAGAGTGGTCTCCATCATTGTGCGGCAATTTTAGGCCGATCCTCTCTCTCCAAACTCTAATGGTTCAGCTTGTTGTCAGGCACTGTTTTGCACCTATTTGTATGATTGAATGTTTTTCAGCATTGGTCATGGCGAATGGGTTCACGGTGGCCAAGGAGACTTACAATTATGACCAGTCCCTCTACTTCCTCCTAGAATTGGCACTGGGCGGCGAGCTCTACGCCACGTACAACAAGAGGAACTTCTGGGGCAATGATGCTCATCAGCAACCAGAGAAGGTTAGCCAAAGCTTGTTTTTTTGGGTGGGTGAAGCTTTGGTTGGTCTCTGGGTGCGGTTCGGCGGTTGGCCAGGAGAAGTGCGGTAAGTTTTACGTGGCCGGCACGGTCTTCGCCTTTGAACATCTCCACAGCAAGAAGATCATCTTCCGAGATCTGAAGCCAGCAACGTCCTCAGCCCTTGGCCCAGCGTTGAAGACTTCAAGAAGGCTGCAGTTGCTCAGGAGAATCTCTTGCTGAACGACAAGGGGCATGTGAAGCTAACTGACATGGGTCTTGCAAAGGCACGTTCTGATGCGCCAGCTAACACCTTCGGCATGTTGGAATGCTGAAGTCCAAGCCAGGTAGTGCCAGGGAAAACGTTCACGACCTGTGGCACTCCAGCGACTTGCTTGCCTGACTTGCAGCAAAGCATGATTTTCCGCGGCAGCTTTGGCAAAATTTGCTCTGAGGATTACTTTGCCCCAGAGCTCATCGCATCCAAAGGCAAAGACGGAGCCGAGGTGACGGCATTTTTAAATTTAACCCACGGCCTTGTTTCAGGTCACACGCTGGCTGAGTGGCACTTAGATATCCGTAGATCCAGCTGCGAAGAGGACTTGCGTCGCTGTTCAGCGCTGTTGAGGTGGATTGGTGGACGCTTGGCATCCTAACGTTTGAGCTTTGCTCGGGCCACCCTCCCTTCGAGTCGGCCACGCCGATGCAGATCTACTCCAAGGCAAGGCCAAAGACCAATGCTCAAACACCCACCCGGCCCGGCTTTGCCATGGGCATAGCTGCTGGCATCAGTGCATTATGCTGGGAAGGTGCAGAAAGGCATCAACAAGGTGGTCTTTCCAAAGAAGCTCCGTGGCAACATCGAGGCCCTTGTGAAAGGGCTTTGCAACGCATCCCCGAGTCTGCAGCTCAGAATTGCCCGAGGTTTGCGGGCACGACTAGTGGCTATAGTCGTTAATGAAGATACTTTCCTACCACCTGCGTATCTGCTAAGGCGAGCGATTGCCGATGAAGAAGGGGGGCACCCAGAACATCAAGAATCAGGCAGAGCAGAGCAGAAGCTCGCAACCGGCTCGAAAGCTTTGGGCGGTGTGCGAAGGCATGGTTCAGCGGATTCAACTGGGATGAGTGCGCCAACTTCATGATGACACCTCCGCACATCCCTACCGTGAAGGGCAAGAAGGCGCCCAGTGGCACAGACAGATTGGGTGATCCCTAGCCACAGCGACATGCTGGCAGGACATTGCAAACTTCTCTCCCAACAAGGAAGACATGCCGCCACAGATTCCTTACAAGGCAACCCGTCCTGCTTGATGACTGATTGAGTATGCTCATGTACGCTCATGCGCGCTCACTGCTCGAACAGGATCCCAAGACCGGCTGGGATAAGGCCTGATACACTTTTGTCTTGTGATGCCCTGCGACACGTTGTGAAGAGAGCTGCGAGGACTTCGCGACCTCCACATAAGTCAAGCTCAGCCCCTTCAGCTGCCGAGAGCTGGGAATTCAAACTGCAGAGATGCAGAATGCACAGATGTAAGGAACCGTGAGTGAGGGCATAGGAGAAATGCAACAAATTCATCGAAAAGCACCGGGTCCTTGGATGTGACGTCGCGTCTACGTCGAGTCGAGCCACTCGACGTCTCGACGTCTCCCGTTTTTGGGCTTCCCGAAAGCGGCTTGGCTTCGCCTGAAGGCGAAACCGAGCTCCGCTCCGCGGAGTCTACTTGGAGCCCACTGCATGATTCGATGTCTCGGATCCCCGGTGCAACGTGTGCTTTTCACAATGCATGCGGCATTACGTAGCATGCAATGCAGCACAGCCCATGTCTCATTTGCAACCCAAAGTGGTTCGGAAAAAAAAACATCTGAGAGTTTTTTAGATAGAAGGGCGGCGAAGATTGGAGCGCATGAAAACAACATTTCGACAGGCTTGGAGGTCGCCAGCCTTGCCCGTCGTCGGCCACAATAGAGGAGGGCCTGGAGATGTAGCCATCGTAGCCAGTGTCGCCTCCGAGCTCCCCACCACGCCGGTGTATCCTTCTGTGCAAACTGTTGCAGCGTCGCAGGAGTTCATTGAAAGAGGCTCTCCTCTGGAGAAGAGGTGTGGTTGGCTAGACGTAGCAGGGCTAGAGATGATTCCATTGTGAAGTAATGGGCAGGCAGTAATGTGGCACCCTTTTTAATG